CCGGACCGCGAACGGCCACAGAAAATGGGGAGCCGCCGCATGGATCATGGAGGTACGAGCGACCTCCATGACTAAGCCAATGCGGCGCTCAGCAACCCCATTCTGCTGCGGAGAGGCCGGAAGCGTGAACGACTGGGTGATGCCGTGCTCCGCACAGAAGGCTGCCAAGAGGTCAGAGGAGAACTCACCACCTCTGTCAGAGTGCAGACGCAGGACAGGAAAGTCCCGCTCGAACCGCTCGCGGAGCTGGAGACGCACAGCGCGGATCCAGGGGATCAAAACAGCAGGGACGTCTCCCTTGCTGCGCAAGGGGAAGACCGTGGTGTAACGCGTGAAGTCGTCGACAACCAGCAGAAAGTACCGCTCACGGCCCTGTCCCTGGACGCGGGCTGGGCCCCACACGTCCAGGTGAAGCGTCTGCAGGGGAGCCTCTGTGGGAGGAAACGAGGAGGAGTGAGGAGCGGCGCGCTGCCGCCCCTCGACGCAGGGAATGCAGGGCGGCGCAGGCGAGGGAGGGAGGGCAGGCAGAGACCTGGGAAGCCCAGAGACCAGAGAGCGAGAGTGCATGCTACGAAGGCGAGGCAGGGAGGGGTGACCAAGGCGGTGGTGCCAAAGGAGCGTGTCGTGCGACAGGCGGCGGCACTCACACTGGGTAGCTACCTGAGCAGACGCGTACAGCTGTGGAGACAAAGGAGCGGAGCGTGAAACAGTGGTGAGGGTGTACAGACTGGACCCCGGCTCACGAGTGAACGTGGCCAGGTGGCGGCCAGTCTTGGAGCACGTACAGATCGCCACACGCTGCCCTCCAGGAGTCCAGGTGTCAACCCAGTGATCCTGGAGGACGGCGTTGCTCACCAGGTTCGTAGAGAACGAGGGAACGAGGAGACCTGACAGCTCACCAGACGGGACCGCCGGGCACGGGAGCACAGTCGTGCCGCGTGCAAGCACTGGGCCCCCAGAGGGGTCAGCCAGGGAGACAGGGACAGGTGCAGGGAGCGGAGTGACGGTGGTGCTATCACGAAAGAAACAGCGGGAAGCACCAGAGTCAAGTGTAAACGTGTGCAAGGCCTGAGCCGACTCAGTACCAAGGGGAGCAGACTCACTAGCACCTAGGGCTGCAGTCCTTATACCGGGGTCAGGCGGCACACACAAGTAGCAGTCACCCTCAGCACTAACAGTCAATGCATACATGGCAGCAAGAATAACATCATAGTCCAGATCAAAGATAGGCACATCACGCCTAAGCAGCTCTGCCCAGTTGGGGAACTCAGTAGCATCAGGATACTTAGTACGCCAGGCGTCACTAAGCCTAGCAAAACAACGATACTCAGTGTGAAAACCGTTGCAGGGGCGACCCTTGCGGGGGCCAGTACGAATGACATAGGGGCAGCGGTCAGAACCCCGAGACGCCCCACGCCCAGCATACCAGTCATTGAGCTGCTGGGAGGTGAGGGGAGGAAGCTGCTGCTGCTGCTGTGGCTGTTGCTGCTGCTGCTGCTGCTGGCCACCCTTCTGGCCAGATCCACCCCCACTCCCACCTCCACCGCCACTGCCGCTGCCTCCTCCCCCACCACCGCCGCCGCCGCCTCCACCGCTCCCGGTCCTGCCGCCACCCCACCCACCGCCTCCACCCCCACGGCCACCCCCACCACCTCCACCACCCCCGCCGCCTCCACCACCGCTCCCTCCACCGCCACCTCCGCCACCCCTGCCACCCTTGCCGCCCCTGCCACCACCACGCTTCCCACCAGGAGCGGAAGCCGCTGCGACCTTCTCCGCACCGAGGAAGTCGACAGCAGTAGCAGCAGAGGCGTAGGAGGGGTCAAGAGGGGAGGGGGAGCACCCCTCAAAGAGGGGAGTGCGGGGAGTGCCACGAGCAGCACCGACAGCGAGGATGTTCTTCTCTGCTGCGACCAGCTGCTGCTCGAAGTCGTCCAGAGTGATAGTTGGAGGATCCTTGGCAAGGAAGTAATCCCTGACAGAGCGAAGAGTGTCAGGGAGGCGGGTGACGAGGATGTAGAGGGTGAAGTACAGCGGGGGGGTGTTCGTGGCGAGGAACTCTTTGGTAAGAGCGGCTCGAAAGCGGGCGTCACTAGCGCGGAGGTGAGTGATAAGGTCGGCAGCAGTGTGAAACGAGGCTAAGTCTGGGAACAGGTAAGGCAGGATGAGACTACCAACGGTGGCTGTGGTCGGGGCGGAATAGCGGGCAACGACAGCATCATACAGCGTCTTAGCAGTCTTAAGCTGGTTGAAATGCGCGCGCTCAGAGATCGGTAGGTGATTGCGAATAACAAGGCGCGCGACAGCATCGCGGAGCTCCCACTGTGCTCGTTCAGGGGCAGGAGCAGTCTCAGCAGGAGTAGGGACAGTGCCGGTCACATAGGCTAGCAGGGACACTCCGTCTGCGACGTCAGTCATAAGGTAAAGGCGCAGGTCACTAAGCCAGGTGTCAAACTCGATGGGGCGGCCGTCAGGCTCAAAGGCGAGAACAGTAAGGGTCGCCATGGTTGTAGCGCAGGCAAAAGTAGCAGGCTCAGGCAGCAGGCTCAGGCAGCAGGCAACTGTAGCAGGTAAGGAAGCACGCAGTTCTGTGACAGGCCGCGCGTAAGGCAGGTAAGCGCACGACTCACGGGCGGCTAAGCGCTCAGGTCGAGGCAGTGGCGCACAGGCAGGGCAGGGCACGCGCTGCTGCGGGCTGCGCGCGGCAGCGGGCTGCGCGCGGCTGCGGGCTGTGCGTGGCAGCTGGCTGTGCGCGGCGACGGGCTGCGTGCGGCTGCGGGCTGCGCGCGGCGACGGGCTGCGCGTGGCTGCGGGCTGCGCGTGGCTACTGGCTGCACGCGGCGGCGGGTCGCGCGTGGCGGCGGGCTGCGCGCGGTGACGAGCTGCGCGCGACAGCAGCGAGCACGCGGGCGGCTAAGGCAGCGGGGCGCGCTAAAAAAAAAAATGCACGCGCGCATGCAGCCGAGGCGCGCGCGGGCAGCAGGCAAGGTAGGCACGTAGGTATAGCTGTAGGGAAAGTAACTCATGAGTAGGTGGGCCCCAATCTTAGGTCCTTAGGACCATTGCTCTAGATGCCATGTTGAGATAGCTAGGCAAGGTGAAGTTGACTATCGAGAGAAATTTTACAAGTAGGAAAACCCTAAGGGGTTATCCCCTATAACATCTACCCCACTACAGCCTACCAATATGTATCACACATATATATCATTTGACAGAGTCAACTCTGACTCTTCGTGTTCACTCTCGATACTGCATGCTTCCTTTGCTGCGGTGAGGAGTGCACAGTAATGAACAATCATTACTATTCGTAACAATACCGTCATACCCCGGATAGAAGCGCCCCTGGGGTTATAAAAAAACACTGTTTTTTAGGGGGTGGGCTTATAATTGAGGATTTTTATAAGCGCCGGGGCTTATATAATGACATATATGAAATCTAGTTTTTTTTACACCAAAGTGTTTATGTCGTCCTTGCGAATTGAATCGAATCGATATTGTAGAGGGCAATGAATATAAATTTCGCGTAAATTGGTAGTGGCTGATTCCATGCCAACATACACAGTCAGAATGAGTCAGATTGACCCCATGACAGCTCATTCTGACTGGACGCGAAGGCATTGAGTCGCGCGAGGGTGAAGGGATTCGAAATTCTGAATGTGGGAATGCAAAGTTGTGTCTCGTTACAGCGTTTCTAGTAAAAATATAAGAAAACATTACAAAGGGTGGCGCTTATGGGTGCGCTTATAATCGAGGACCGGATATAAGCGCCCTCAGGGCCCGTGCTAGGTTTTGAGGCATCCTGAGGCCTCAGGGCAACTTTCCAGAATCTGAAAAAAATGCCCTGATTTGTCAGGGCAATTTTTCAGAGGCTCCTTGTAGTTTCAGGGCTTCTGCAGAAATCTATCCTGGCCTGTCAGGGCAAAAATACGAGTGTTCAGGGTTCTGTTTTTAACCTATCTAGTGGCACCAGCATTGTCATATTCTTGTTACCGGTAACTAATCCAGGGTAGAGAACACCACCAGACTAGACCAGAGAACACCACTGCTACTCTAACAGAAACACTGGAGGGGTGCATGCATGGCACACAAGGAGACGATCGGAACTGTCAAAGGAATCGTGCATTGGGTTTGGCTGGTGCATTGCAGGGGATCGGATTTGGAACTGTCAAAGGCTAGAAAAAGACACAGGGAGAAAAAAATCCACGGGGAAAAATTTTCCCAGGAACAAGAACACCCCCCCTCCCCCCCCCACCCCCCCGCCCCCCTCTAAAAACGCGTCAGGGCAAGTCTCTTCATTCATCCTGACGCTTCAGGGAAGAACACCACAACCATCCTGAATGTCCAGGGCATTCCATATAACAACATCCTGTGACCACAGGGTTAAAATTGACACTATTCTAAAATTACAGGGCAAATTCAAAACTGCATCCTGATTTCAGGGTAATCGGGATGTTTTGCCCTGATAACGTGGGGCATGAGCGCCCTCATCCTTTTATAAGCGCCGGCGCTTATCATAGGCATGCGCTTCCATCCGGGGCCTTACAGTAGTATGCATTGAGAAACACAATTTTGAAAAACACCAATGTGTTTAAAATTAATAATATTGTCGTCAACGGATCACAAAACAGTCGTCGCACGTGTTGATCTTTTCCGTTCGTCGCGTCTCCGCTACGTATATGCAGCAGCAGGGATCTACAAGACTGCAAAATCTTTAGCAAACTAGAAGCTGCGTTATATTGGTGGATACATTATGCTGTCACAGGAAGGAAATGTTTCAGCCCAGCATCAAAACCTTAAACGCATACCGTAATTTCCTCAGTGATGTACTCGAGCAAAATTCAGTCATGGTCCAACCAATCATAAAAATATTTACTCGTCCTAGCCACAATTGAATTTCCAGGACCCAGCTTGAAGCACACAAAGACCTGCCGTCTCGCTTATCATGTACAGGGAAACATCAAAGACTCCTGTTACAAAAAAGCATTCCCACCGTAGCCTTCTCACACACTGAAGGACTTGAGCATTTTTCTGAGCTTGGCTTCACCCGAAGCCCACTGCTTGTCATTTGCACTGATCACCAGCAGCAGCACGGTGCTGCCCTTGGCCGTGGCAGAGGCCAGGTTGTAGGCACCTGAGCGTGCGTAGGGCGTCTCCATGTAGTACTCATAGTACTGTGGTGGGTGAAAGGGGGGGAGAGAAGAGCAGGGAGGGAGGGAGCAAAGCAGGGGTTAATATGAAGAATGCTTTCAGCAGCAGCAGGGTGCTGCCATTGGCCGTGGCAGATGCCAGGTTGTAGGCACCTGAGCGTGCATAGGGCGTCTCCATATAATACTCGCAGTACTGTGGTGGGTGGAAAAGGGGGAGAGGGGGGAGGGGGGAGGAAAGTGGGGAAGCAGGGGTTAATATGAAGAGTGCTTTCAGCAGCAGCAGAGTGCTGCCCTTGGCCGTGGCAGAGGCCAGGTTGTAGGCGCCCGAGCGTGCGTAGGGCGCCTCCATATAATACTCGTAGAAATGTAGTGGGTGGGGGAGGGGATATGGGAAAGAAGTGGTGCACAAAGGGACTGCTTTCCCCAGCAGCAGCAGAGTGCTGCCCTTGGCCGTGGCAGAGGCCAGGTTGTGGGCGCCCGAGCATGCGTAGGGAGTGTTTCCATGTAATACTCGTAGTACTGTGGTGTGGGTTTGGGAGGGAGTTGAAAAGATGGGAAATTTATATCCTCTTTGCAAGCAGCCTGAGGCTGCACAAGTCATTTCCATGCATGTAGTTCTCACAAGACTGTGGCGCGGAATTGAGAGAGTTGGGAGGAAGTGAGAACAATTTTGCCCCTCCGCACGAATGCGCGGGTCAATAACCTCACCCGGGTCATACGAGTCGCCTGTTACGAATGGGCCGAGGGCCGCGATGATGCGCTCTGGTGTGCCGATCTCCTCACCAGTCACAAACAGCCCATTCTCCACTCACCGTCTGGCCGCCCTCCTTGCGAATTCGCGTGTCCACCACCTCATCCGGGTCATATGAATCGCCCGTCACAAACGGGCCGAGGGCCGCGATGATGCGCTCTGGTGTGCCGATCTCCTCGATGGGCAGCTCTAGCTTGTTGGTCAGGCGCACCATGGGTGATGCCACCACCTGGAGAGAGCACAGCATATCAGCACAGCAGGCAGCACGCACGGGCTCAGGAAAGACAAAATGAGAGAAGGGCTTGTCAAAAATAGGCCTAACAGCAGGCAGAACACAGCAAGCAGGGGTGCCGATCTCCTCGATGGGCAGCTCTTGCTTGTTGCTCAGCCGCACCATGGGTGATGCCACCACCTGAAGCACAGAACAGACAGCATGCGCAGGCCAGGGAAGAGGAGAAGCAACAGCTGTTAGGCTGCAGAACACGATGATCAGGTGAGTCAATCTCCTCCTCGATGAACAGCTCGAGCTTGTTGGTCAGCCGCACTGCACCATGGAGCGGGAACAGGAGAGAACGCCTTGAATATGCATAGATGACAGCATATTCAAGGTTGAATGGCTGACCTTGAGCATGGGTGGCAGCATGGGCCACAGGATGAGCTACATCGTTTAAAGCCCATACCTGCAGAGTGGCCGCACGATAAAAGAAGTGTTTTGAGACATCTCATGACAATTTTACTATCATCAGCATGCGCCACAGGACGAGCTACATCACTTTAAAGCCCATACCTGCAGAGTGCTCTCGTGGGGGTCCTCAAACTTGACTTCAATCCACTCAGCTCCAAAAAGGCGAGAGCCAATGGAAAACAAACAAACGCATGGGCGGAAGCAAGGGCGACTGCGTGGGAAACGTGACAAGTGCAGCACCTGCAGCAAGCCCTCCCTGGGGTCTTCGAACTTGACTTCAATCCACGGCTCCACGCACTTGGGCTGGCAGTAGTTGCCCGAGAGGATGTTGGCGATGAGAGGATGTTGGCGATGCGAGGATGTCCGTTCTAATCAAGGCCCTTACCTGCAGCAAGCCCTCCCGTACCTGCAGCAAGCCCTCCCGTACCTGCAGCAAGCCCTCCCGTACCTGCAGCAAGCCCTCCTTAGGGTCCTCAAACTTGACTTCAATCCACGGCTCCGCGCACTTGGGCTGGCAGTAGTTGCCCGAGAGAATGTTGGCGATGCGCGACTGAGTCCACGTGGGCGGGATGTTGAACGTGTAGGGCGACACGTTGCCTGGGAGTTAATAAAGGGTGGATGGGAGGAAGGGGAACACAGCGAATGGGAGGAGGGGACAGGCCTTATGGAAAGAAGGATGGTTCGAATCCGTCCCTTTTGAGGCGCCTCAGACCTCCTCCCCCTTCACACACGGCTTGGGCTGGCAGTAGTTGCCTGAGAGGATGTTGGCGATGCGCGATTTAGTCCACGTGGGTGGGATGTTGAACGTGTAGGGCGACACGTTGCCTGGAAGGGGGAGGGATTGGAGGGAGAGGGGAAGGGAGGCCAGATGGGGAGGGGGGAGGAATGGATGGGAGGAGGAGGGGACAGGCTGTATGGTAAGATGTCAAATCCGCGTTACAGGACACCCCTTGGACTCGAACGGAAGGATGGGAGAGAAGAATGACTGAACATCGTTGTTGGACCCAAGAACATGAACACTAGTAGGCGTGCGAAGCGGAAGGCGGATGTGGAAGGGCGGTATGCACGGTTAGGGAGCGGACGAGGAAAGGGGGATAATTTAAGTGAAGGGAGAATGGTACCGACTACCCTCGTGCTTTAAAACGCAGTAATCGTGGAGGAGTAACGAGAGACGCCGACTGAAGCAAGCAGAGCGGAGCGCGGAAGGCGAGAATAGGAACATTAATATATTCTCCTCATATTCCGACCTTCTCTAGTGGCTCCATCATGTCAGTGGAATTTCAATTATAAGACATTGTTATTTATATGCTGATTTCCCGTGTATTTCATTGCCTTCCATAAGGTCGAAAGTATTCCTGTCCTTTTATTTGAAAGCGTAAGTGGGAAAGAACTTTGAATAACTGAAGAAACGTTCCCAATAAAACGGTGAAAAAAAGAGGCGTTAATACGTAAAATTCTTACCTGCTCTAAGCGCAGGTGTGTCCTTCATCCCCGGTGTGAAAACGACAAACTCGCCATCCTCGGATTTCGGCAGGAACGCCCCGACCTGCTTCGGAACGGTTATAGCGGACGCTTCATTAACGGGTACCATGGGAGAAAGCGCCGCGGCAGCCATTGACAGCAGGACGCTTCGGCGGTCCAGTTGCGAGTCGACGTCATCGTCGCCGGATGCTGATCTGGCAGCAGCGCGGGTGAGTCGACGTGTCGAGATCTTGACAACGGAAGGCTGGGAGTTGACGGCGTGTGAGACGAAATTGTGTTGGAGAGCGAGGGACGGGTTGGAGATGGTCGAAAAGGAAGCTTGGAGGGCAGCCATTACGAGTTACTACCAAAAATGATAAGCAGGAGATATACGAGAAGCAGCTGAAGTGCTAGCAGAGGCAGCAGTGCTAGCAAGTCGAACGAAATGGAGTTCGTGTGGTGATAATCTCGCGAATCACCGCGGCGATTGTCGTTCATGGGAGCCGCCCATGCGAGGGGTGGGAAATCAACGTGTCAGGCCGAATCACAACCAGATTTTGGTGATGGCGTGGCAAGCAGGCGACGTGGCCAAGTAATGGTCCGACACTGGTCGCAGGTGACGTGTAATCCAGAAACCTGACAAGATTCCAGGGCAATTACCGTACCGTACCATGCTGGATAAGCAGCCCCAGCTGATGCGCTTGCAGAGCAGAGCCTGCTCGGAAATTAATGATTCACGATATTTACTAGTGTTATTTCCAATACAAGTACAAGTAGCATGCTAGATGCATACACAATAGAGGCCCCCGAACCCAGCCAACACCCTACAGCTGACTCCTTGCAAAGAGCAATACACCAGTGTACCACCCTCTTCCCTAGTGGCACTGGAAGGTCAAATGAGGACTACCCACCTCCTCTTTTAATGCAACAGGGCACACACAGTCCCCTAGTGACTTTCTCCACATAAATACTTTTCACATATTTCAGGGGACATCAGCGACAAGGTGGTGCCTCTCCCTGAAAGCTGCCACAAAAGCTGCACTGTTGGTACACATCACACCCGACCCGAGTAAGGCTCCACAAGAAAATGCTGGAACCGACCCAGTATCCCATACCGGAGACGCTGGATACTGTAACAGCCAGTGTTGCCAGCGTGGTCAGCCTAATGGAGTTGACATGAAACAGAACGCTGCTGGCATTCCACAGCTTGCCCAAGAGGCGTGAATGGGATAGCTGTAGTGGAGGCCGGGGCCTTGTCCAAAGCAGCTCGTGTGGAGTGCTGAAGTATCCAAGATCAGGGAAAAGCAGGCCGAGCTTGCCTGGCTGGTGCCCTCGTGACCAGATAAAAAGGTTCAGTGAACGGCCCCTCCTTTGCTGAGGTCAGCATGTCCATACTGACAGGGTTCAGCAGGTAGCCGTTGCCTTGGGATGATCGGCTTGGCAAGGAACAGCAGATGCCATCATGACAGGAACAGCAAGGATCAGCAGGTTGTGCCGTGCCTTAGGATGAGCATGAAGGAACTGTTGATGTCATTGTCACCGCCCCGCACGTCTTCACAAATGGAGGGCCGGCCTTGCAAACCCGCATCACCACAGGCCCCTGAACCACCTTTCCCATGAAATTCGGAAACTGGAATTTGTACTGCCGCTGACAGCCCCGCCCAGCTTTTCCTTTACTCAATCGAAGGTAGCGCTTGTTTTTATTTTTAACCACTGTAACATATTTCGATGTCGGGGGTGTAGGGCAGGATTTCGCGAGCGGAATCAGCACGGCGGCGACGTACGGTCCGGTTTTGCACCAGGGAGTGAAGGTTGGGAATTTCGCCATGCCCGTTTGCGCCGCGCTCCGCACCTGGCGCTGCGCGGAGCTGGCGCTCTGGCTGGCATCCTTGGCTGCGGTTTGCGTTCCCCTGCTTGCAGCTTTCTGCGCCGAATTCGCGCTCCGAGCCGCGTTTTTCGAAGCCGAGCTGGCGCTTTTGCCCGTGTTCCGTTTCGCGGAGTTGACGCTCTTGCTGGCGCTCTTTCCAGCTGACGCCGCACTCTTCTGCATGTTCTGCTGAGCTGTCATGAGGTTCCGGCTGACGTCAGCCCGGAAAGATTCGGAAGGATTTTGCAGTGGCCGCGGCGAAAGGAAGGAACGGGAGAGGGGGAGGTGTTGAACGGCGCGATTGAGGAGCTCGCCGAGCATGCGACGCAGGAGACGCAGGCGACCAGTGAACGACATTGCGGAGAGGGCTGAGTCTCGATGCTCTTCAGTAACGAGGTTGAAGCGACTTGCTAGCACGCGACCAGGCGCCGACATGGTTGTTGAGTTCCCGCCGCTGCTGCTGTTGTTGCTGCTGCCGTTGCCAGTGGTGCTGTTACTGCTGCCGTTGGTGCTGTTGCTGCTCCCTCCAATCCCACCACCGTCAATAGAACCACCGCTACTAGCACCACCGTTACTGCTTCCCCCACTGCCACTGCCACCCCCACCAGAACCAGCATCCGTGGAATTCCCACCGTTATTAGCCCCAGACGTGCTGTTCCCGGACGTGCTATTACCGGTGGTGGGCGGTGGTTGGTCAACAGGCGGATAGTTAGGAGGTGGAGGAGGGGACTTGGGAGGCGGAGAGGGGGAGGGGTAGTTGGGAGGCGGAGAGAGGGACGGTGGAGGGGGGGAGGGGGAAGGGGAGGGGGAAGGACAGGGGGACGGCGGAGGGCGGGGCGAGGGGGACGGCGACTGAGACTTTTTGACCGTCGCGTCGTAGACGAACGTCACCGTTTTGCCGTCGTCCGCCGTCTGGATCTTGACGGTTGCTCGCAACAACGTCTGCGATCGCGGGGACAAAGAGCAGGGGGACGGGGAAGGGCGGTTGAGGGGGATACTTTGAACTTGCCGACGACCTCCGTCTGGATCTTGACGGTTGCTCGCAACAGCGTCTGCGGCGACGAGATCGCGCAGTGGTGGGGGGCATTTGGGAGGAGAGGAGAAGAAAGAGTATGAATCAAGTGAACGCGAATAGGGTTGAAACGTGGAGGGGGTGGCAAGGGAACGCCTCAGCGGCTGGCCGTCGCCCGCCGTATAAAACTCGACGATTGCTCTCGGCAACGGCGTTAGTACGGACGATCGCAAGAGGACGACGGAGGGAGGTGAACGAATCCCTTCCCTTTCCCCTCACACGATAATGCCCTTTCACAAACCAAACCTTTCCTCATCTCCCATCGCCCACCATCCCTTCCTGGTTTTCCTTCACTCCTCCTCCCTCCCCCCTCCCACTCTCTACCCCCCCCCCTCTCCCCCCCTCCCTCCTCCTTCGGTTTCGCTCTCATCCAACTCCGCTGTAACGTACCTCGCCGACTGGTAACATCGCGATGGCGAGTTGCGTGGCCATTTTCGTCCCCGCGAATATTAGTCGAAAAGGCGACAGCGGGCCAGCCCAACTTCTCCTGCTGCCATGACGACCGTAATCTCGAGAGCCCGTAGTAGACGCAGCTGATCCCGGATTAGCAGCGCCATTGTTCGTGCCGCAGGGGTTACTGCTCTGCTGCTGCTTACTCGCAGCGCTCCCCGCCAGGTGCGCTCCGGCGGAAATCAGAAGGTTCGCGGTGTTGTCCCATCCGAGCCGCCGTCTAGAAGGCGAGACTAGACTCTCCGCGAATGCCGCCGAATCTGGACCGAAGGGGTGGCCCTCTACTAGCTGGTCTGCAGACACGGCTCGAATCGACGTGGAAAGGAGGAGAACCGAGAGTGAAATGACGGTGATGAGACTCCCATGTCTCGAAGGCAGTCGCAAACCCATGACTCCGCAAAAAGCAGCTGTACTACTAGCACGAGTAGATATTCTGTTACGAGAACTAGCGTCGACCATTCGCGCCATTTTAAGAATCCGGAAGTCACTCGGGTCGCGACTTGCCGGACAGACTGCGTCTGACCAAGCTAGTAGTTCCGACTGCTGTTGTATTGATCCAGTTCTCTGGACCTTAGATCGTCTGACTTCGAACTACCTACGACCAATAGACCGTGTTGCCGGGGTAGGGTAGGCACGGTGGTTTGGAAAAGTCCGCAGGGTGAAGGTAACAAAACCTTCCAGTTCAAAAGGTTCGGGCTTCGAATGTTACCAGAAAGAAGCGCCGTGTGAAAAGTTGGAATCTATGGACGTCTTGCTTTTCGTCCTGGGGCTATTCGCGCGAATTACTTTCTGACTAAATCCGCACGGCACGGGACTCCTTTGAAAGGCTTTTCAGTGAACTGACTTCTATGAATCCATGGTCTTGGAGCGCGCAGCTTGGGGGTCTCGACGGACCTATGTAGAACATACAAAAAGGACAGTGCTGGCTGGGGTGGTGAGGTGATCACAATGAGGGTGTGGGAATGTGTAAAGCCTGTGCGAATGTTAGCGAAGTAAGCGTGTACTGCACGCAGACGCTGACGAACTCAGCGAAAAGGGCAGAAGGGACGAAAGCAGTTGGGGTGAAGGGAGGTGCATTTTCCCAGCAGGTGTTGAAAACGCGGAGGACAGTGGGTGGGCGGATGAGAGGAAAGGCATCAGGAGGAAAGGAACTGTCGCGAGTCACAACAGAACTGTTTGTTTCGGGGGGAAGGGGGATATTCTCGGAGGGGGGACTAGTCTCATCTCACGGATCTGCTGCAGGGGAACGAGGGGGAGGGAGCGATGGGGGGAGGAGAGACTTGGGGGCTGCTGCTGTGCAGTATGACTACACCTGATGCTCATTCCAGTTCTGTTTTTCATCTTTCTCTCTGCTCCTCTTTGAGCACGCGCTCGCTACAGAGAGAATGGGACTGTAACTGGGTAGCATGGCGTGTCTTGTCTGGGAAACTCGAATAACTTATTCGAGGTCAAGAATATCTTAGTTTTGTCGTGGGCTAGTAACGCGCGGGCCGTTGGCTGTAAATGTCGACCACTGGGCGTATGGAGTGGCAGTGAGAATGTTCAGATTGGGCGGTTGAGTGAGCATTAGGGTGTACATCACCGCACATCACTCATTCGTTGTGGCCTTACAGATCCGATGCGGTTCGTCTGCAACATTTAGACCGTTGATATTGCGATCCAAGCAGCCGACCAGTGCGCTGGCGCGGGGGCAGAAAAGCAAGCCAGCCCTTGCTTTTGCCTCCCCCAATGGAGCGATGGGCATTGATTGACTGTGCCTCTAATCAGCACTCATCACCACACCACACCGTGTCAATACCAGCCCGTTGCTCTCGGAACCTTGAAAGACCAATCTCAAAGACTTGGCCGAGCAGGCTTTCGGAGGTTCTCCCAGGGATAAATTTTCATCAGTCAGCAGATCGGGTAGGCAAATACTATACATAAAACCCCCCACGTGGGCTGAAACCAGGTGTGGACCAATTGGGACATGAAATATGTCGGCTGGTTTCCTGGTGTAACGATGATGACGATGGACCGTTCGATGCTGTCGCTGCCTTTGAGAATTGAATCCACCCCACAAGATCTGGTCACTTCGGTCGTTTTTCCAACCATTTCAGCCTTCTCCTGCAGCTTTCGTTTGTCGTGGCTGCACCGTCATTTGAGAAATTTGGGACCACCTGGGACATGGTCAGAAACAGCCATCCAGACGGCGCCGAACAGCTATGCCTAGCCTCATCGCTATAAGGTTGTGGCGTACACTGAAAAATATTTGACATCATAAATGCTTAAGGATCACACTAGGCTTACACTCAAGCTAAACCACGGGAGCACCTCAGCAACTCCCACTGGTGAATTGCACGTTCTTACAATGCAGTTGAAATAGTACTGGCATAGAGGAATAACGTCACTACTGTTCCAGTATAATACAGTTCAGACACTGATTAATCCATAGCAATCACCACCCGCTACCAATGAGGCACCCAACACGAAGCTACTACTTTCCTGCACCACATTTCACTGCTTCACTCCTTTCGCTTGGTTCCTTTCGACCCCTTGTTTCCTTCTAAGGGCCTGCCGTAGCCCATTCTCCTTTCCACATCGCTTGCCTGGCCCTCTTTTCTCTCTCCTGGTCCCGCTATATCATCTCCTACCATACGTGCACGAGCAGCAGCGTAAGCCTCCTCGTCTATTATCTCCTCTAGAGTTGATCTCGCATACTCCTTGGTTGCCACATGAGCGTCAGCTCGCGCCATCAACGCGTCAACAGTCCATGCAGAAGTAGCGGGCGCGTCTGGTTGGGTATAGAAAGAGGGGATCGTGAATTGGCAAGAAAAAAAAGAAAAGGAAAGAAAGAAAGAAAGAAAAAAAAAAAACGCATTGGTAACGGTTTGGCTCGAAACGATGACGCAGAGACAAAAAATAAGGAGATGACAATAGCTCCCTGCAAGTCCTACGTGGCAGCGTTTTATTGGTGCTCAGAATACGTATTGAATGGATTCAGGTTCTCGTCATACTGGTATCCGGTTAACGAGATGTTGAAATAATCATTGCACCAACTGTAAGTGTGTCCAAGCATCAAGAAACAGACGAAAAAGGAGGATTCACGACCGTACACAAAGGAACAGTGAACACAGACAATAATAGTGAAAACGTTTACCTTGCTTCGACATGGCTCCACGCTACAAAAGAGTCCTTGAGTACCGACGGTAATTGGAGGAGAAACCTGAAAACAAACAAATCAGAAAAAGGATGAAGTCAAATCGTCAGAGGGATCACGGCGACTCCCTGTGGAAGCACGGACTAAGCTCCATTCGAGGATAACGCTGCTTGTTCAGGGAGCCAAGATTGAGAGGGGTTAATTTCGAGAGACCTATGACACGCACTGCGAAACGAGACTCAGAGGTTGACTTCGAGATTTCCCTCGAAGAACAGAAGTATCCCTTCCACATCTTCCACTGATCAGTTTCCACTACGGTTCTGTGGAATTCCACACGGTAAGCACTGTCCCCAATCGTTACCGTTTTGGACCGTTCCCTATTTTTAGTGTGTTGTGGGTGGTGCGCCACACCTCAAACAAACCACACTCTACATCATCCTCGCTATTGTTGGGTTCGCTGTAAACGGTGCACAAGTATTGAGGGCAACTACCAGCAGAACTTGTAATACACATTCAGCAAAAGAAACTGCCCTTGTGTAGGACTCGACCTGTTTCTAGCAGAATGGTGGGTGTACATGGATTAGTTTCAAGAAAACTCTTTTGGTTATTGCATGTGGTGAACATGCTTCTTGAAATAGATGAAGGGTTACCATACATATGAACACATAGTACAACAATAGAATACATGGTCGAATCACTATTAAGTTAGTGGTTACTAGGTCAACATGGCCGTGTAAGGCCGTGGGTCAGTATAGAGAGGTGCCATGCCATCCATCATTAGAGAGTTACCCAGCGTAATCAGCGGACGGGTTTCTTCCATTAGTCAAGCCACCTCCACGGCCTCCCCCAGTTGAACCGCATCCTCTGCGGAAGGGGCTTCTTCGCACACATCCATGTGCCCCGCGCGCCAATCCAGCGCCTGGCATGCGCGCGAGCAGTAGCTCGGGCCCGAGCACACCGCGCAGCAGCGGAACTCTTTCTCGCGCGTCTCTGGCCGCCCGCACCGCACGTTTCCGCACACCTTCAGTCCGCCCTCGGGCGGGGGGATGCCGTGCTCCGCGTTCCACTCGAGGAGGAAGCGCGAGGCGGGGGGAAGGGGGAGATCAGGAACGGCGCAACCGAAGTCGCTCATGAGCGGGCGCAGGGAACGGCAGAGGGATTGCAGCAGCTGTGCGGGGGAAGACGCGCCGTTGGCGCAAGGCGGGTTGCAGGGACCCGCGTGCGCGTGCTCATGCGCGTGCTCATGTGCACCCACATACTCCTGCGCTCGCGACTCCGCCGCAGCAGACGCCGGCACTTGCCCGTACTTAACCTGCTCCTGCTCGTTGCTCCGCGCCTCGTCCGCGCTTAGCTTCGGAATCACCGCCTTCACGGACTTAATCACCGCATCAAGCTGCCGAAGCTTCTGCTCAGCCTCGGGGAAGCCACCTTCCCCAGATAACACCTGGCTGGCCGCAAACTCCCGCAGATTCGCCTCCATCAGTAACCGCCTCCCCTCCGCCACGTTCTTCTTGATCCCGTACCCGTCCTGCAAGCAGTGCCCCAGCTCCCGAAGCGCCGCCACGTGGCCCTGCTGCGCCGCGCTGGCGCAGAGAAGCACGCCGACGGAGAGTTTCCGCTCGGGGACCGCACCGCCGCTGCCGTTGAAATGGACGACCGCGAGAGAATGCAGCGCGCCGGGGTGCCCGGCTTTCGCGGCTTGGACTAGGTGTTTGATTCCGTCCTTCCGGTCGCCTAGGCAATAGAACTCGATCATCCCGAGGAAAAACGCGGCCTCGTTGTTGCGCGCGTCCGCGCACGCGCGGAGGAAGGAGCGGTAGGACGCGGAGTAGGCGCGCGCGGGGCAGGTGAGCGCGGAGATGGGGAGAGCGGAGAGGACCTCGGGGAACGTGGCCACGTCGTGGAAGCGCTTGCAGGAGAGGCGCAGGCTGGCGAACTCCGCGGCCGATGCGCATTTCGACGCGACGGATGTGGCGATTAGGGAGAGAACGTCATCCTGGAAGAATAAAAGGAGAGGAGAAATAAGAGGGAGGTAACGATGGTTAGAAACCGTCCAGATTGAGAAGCGAAGGACAACGGAAATTAAGGACTGGGTGGAGGCGGAGCGCTGAGAGAGAGAGAAAAAAACGGCACGGTGTGGATAGGAGTGCTTACCGGAATCAAGTCCAGTGACGACGAGGACTGGGCAACGGCTTTGGTCTCGGACGCGCGGAGACGCTTAGCAGCGGCCATTTCGATGAACGCAGAAGCTGCTCGCTTAGGAACCATTGGGCAATATCCTTGGTTGAGAAATCCTCGGTTCAAGATTGTCTGTGCTGGGTTGTTGTCACAGGGACTAGGTTTTCCTCATGCTTGGGCACAGCGATGCAATCAATGTATGGTGGGAGAGGTGGTTTGGTAGAGCTGAAGAAAGCAAGGGTTTCGTTTTCAAACTGCTGTGGGAACGGACGATCTCCAGTTTTATCCATGTGTGGTTGCGTCGAATACGACAAATCAATTTACACTGAAGGAAACGATAACAGCAAGGAACATGCGCAGCGGGTGCATGCGCAAACCAAGGCGAATTTCCGCTTCAGCAGTAATCAGCGAAGCGCAGCAAATCACATGGGCATTTCTCTGTGGGCGGTCCGGAAAGCGACGCGGGGGAGGTGCACCCTGCATTTGCTCCGGCCGCCACATTTGCAGAAATTCGCGCCTCGATAAGCGCCTGAAAAACTCCCTGTCTCCCCAATTTCAACTAGAAAAAACACACCTGCGACTTGGCCAAATTGCGGCTCCAGAAGCCGGAGTGGTTCAGCCTTGAGAGGCACATGCGGGAACCCACCTGCGCAGAGCCCTGAAGAGGCACCAGCGAATATGACTGCATGTACAGTACAGTATCCACAACAAAAGAATGACCCAACCAGCCTCGAGAGAATCGCATGGCGCTACAGTCCCTCGTGGTACAAATGGTTCCGCTATAAAGTCCCGCGCTCACAAAGTCCCCTTTTCAGAATGAGGAGCTTTTTCCTTTAATTCCTAGGTGTGGCCCCTCCTCTACAGTCCCTTTTTTGACCAGGTTCATTGCACGTATAAGTGCCTTGAACATTTACGGAGAATGCTAAAAAGGGCAGTTTTGTTTTGAACTAAACATCTACAACTGATGTTTTTTGTTTCTCTTGACCGCGCTTGTTTCTTATTCCCGTCGCGCGATTCCTAGCGCGCTCCACGATGACATCTCAGTAATCTCGCTGACAGGAAGGAAAAACAAAAAGACAAACTTATTATGGCATCAAACATAATCGATGTTGTTTATTTCTGCCCGTTTTTCACGCATCACTGATAACGCGTAAAACCGTTCGACGAGAAGTTGAAGCAAGCGCGGTCCATACGTACGTATATGACAAAAAACAACAACCAGTAGAGACAAAAAACCGCTTTTCATGCAATTTTCTCGAATTTGGGACTATAGGGTCCCGTTTGCCCGGGGTTTCGGACATTTTGACATATAGTCCGCGCGCGGCGTGTTTCTCCGTCGGACTTTAAACGAGAACAACTATACAGTAATGAGCTTTCCCAGCTCGCGGGATTTCCGCATTTCAGGAGGGCTTTTTGTATGCTGTCGAGAATATACACCTATTTCTCGATAATTGCACACCCCTACCCTATTTTTCATAGGTACCCTTTACGGGCTTTGACTTGATGCGACGGACACCCAGAGATTGAGGGACTATAAAAATACAACGGGCAGGTAGCCTCTAGAAAGGACTCGCACTTAATGTTCGGGGTGAAGGGTCTAGTTATGTTTGGGTTCTCTTTTATATTCTTGGCGCACCCCGACCAAACCCGAAAGTTCGTCGGACCCTCCTCCGCGGTTTTCCTGAACGTTGGTAACTACCCAACGATAACGATTGACCTAGGGTAAATACCCCAGGGTATGAGATTAAGGGGTGTGAAATAATCGAGAACAGGATGTACCGTACTCCATCTTACAATATAGTCCGATAAATTTACTTTCATACATAGACAGTACTACAACCAGAACATCTATACATCCTAACTATATTCATGTTTGCTGCCATTAGAGTAGGGATATTATCTATTATCAGCGTTTCACAAGTTAACATGTGGATAGGAAGTCTCGGCAAACACCCATACAGTCTCAGCAAACACCCAGCTCTTTCCCACGCTACAAAAATGCAGCAGCATAATAATTTTCTTGCTTTTATAAGAGGCAAACCAAGAATGCGTGCACCCTCCTACAGGAGTGCAGATTCCACCAAGATACAACTTTCATCTTCTCTACTCATCTGATTCGTGCCGCCGGTATCCCTCTCCAATCCTCCCTACTCCTCTAGGTCTAAGCTTCATCACGTTCAAAACCTTGCGTGCCCGCTCCCACAACTCCTTCCCTATTCTTCTCCGCTCCTCTAATCTCTCCTTGATATAAACATACACCGAAGGAGCGGCAAAAGCAGCACCCAGCGCTACCACCACATAGAAGCAGATCCACATTACGTTGATAAACCCTGAGGTGACGTTTGGGTCGTTGGTGGTTTGCTGAACCCAGGGTACCCCACCCACATTCATGCCAAAGGCTGGTGGGGTGGGAGGGAGGGGACGAAGAAGTGAAACAGTGTGTTGATAAATTTCCGGGTGACATTTGGGTCGTTGGTGGTTTGCTGCACCCAGGGGACCCCACCCACATATATGCCAAAGGCTGGTGGGAGGTGGGGGAGGAAAGGATAGTGGGACGGGGAAAGGAATTGGACCATATTGTATGGTATGAGTTGACTCAATGCCTAGGAGAACGTTTGACTTTGAGTCAGCGCAAAATGTGTCGCGTGCCATTGTCACGAGGTGACCTTTGAGTCGACTCAAAAGTCACCTCGGGAGGGAGGGATAGGGGCAGGGAGGAATCGGACCATATGGTGTGGTACAAGTTGACTTTTGAGACCTCTCAAAAGGGGCAGGGAGGAATCGGACCATATGGTGAGACCTCTCAAAAGGGGCAGGGAGGAATCGGACCATATGGTGTGGTACAAGTTGACTTTTGAGACCTCTCAAAAGGGGCAGGGAGGAATCGGACCATATGGCGCGGTACAAGTTGACTTTTGAGACCTCTCAAAAGGGGCAGGGAGGAATTGGACCATATTGTGTGGTACAAGTTGCATCAAAGCCTAGGAGAACGCTTGGACCCGGCTCATGCCAAAAACTGGGAGGGAAAACGCGGGGGAAGGGATGAGGGAATGGCGCAAAACTATGTCATGTCATTATAGAGAGCGGCAGGAAGCAGAGAAACGAGATGGAGAGGAACGAGATGTAAAAGAGCTTCTTGTTGATCTGCCCTGACTGCCACTGGTCCAGCCCCGTCTATAGGGCTGTGACTCTCTTTATTCGCCCCCACTCTTTGACGATACTCTCACCTCACAAACCAAACCCCTTGTGTGGCCTTTAGAGAATTCTCAAAAGGCCAAACACAGCCTACTTCCTGCGATCTTGTGATCAGATCACAGAAGATCAGCTGTGATCTTGTACCTTTCTCCCTCCTGTGACTATACAAGGTCATTTGAGTCTACCCAAAAGTCACCTCACAAACCAAACCCCTTCTGTGGCCAAACACAGCCCACTTCCTGTAATCTTGCACCTCTGATCCCTCCTGTGACTATATAAGGTCTCAAACCCTAAAATCTTAAGTGGCATACCTCCTGTGATTATAGAGAGCGGAAGGAAGACAATGGAGAGGAAGAAGATGCAGTAAAGCTTCTTGTTAATCTGCTCTGACTGCCATTGGTCCGGCCCCGTCTGTAGCACTGTGATTCTCACCGTCACAAACCCCACCTCTTGGACCATACGCTCACCTCAACCTACCCCGTCTGTAGCGCCGTTACTCTCCCATTCACCCCCCCTCCTGTGGCAACACCCTTACCTCCAGTGATTATAGAGAGCGGTAGGGGGCCACTGCCGTACCTCCAGTTATTATAGAGAGCGGTAGAAAGATGATGGAGAGGAAGGAGATGTAGTAAAGCTTCTTGTTGATCTGCTCCGATTGCCATTGGTCCAGCCCCGTCTGTAGCGCCGTGATTCGCCAATTCACCTGTCTCATACCTGATCACCCGCCTCCTAGAATTGCCACTGCCGTACCTCCAGTGATGATGGAGAGCGGTAGGAATACGATGGAGAGGAAGGAGATGTAGTAAAGCTTCTTGTTGATCTGCTCTGACTGCCATTGGTCCAGCCCCGTCTGTAGCGCCGTGATTCTCGCTGTCAGAAACCCCACATTCTCCTTGCCTCTCCTCAGCCGAGCCATGGCCCCGTCCAGCACTGCCGAAGCTACAGGTCCGGCGCACCAGTGCCGAGCCACGAGCCTGTCCTTCAGCTTCGGCAGCACCACCTCCCCGTGTGCCAGCGACTGCAGCACTCTCTGCAAGTCCAGGTGCAGCTTGGGGAAGGTCCTATCCTTGAGTAACCGCAGGCGATGATCAGATCCTGAGAGAATCGGAAAGGGAGGGCGAGGGGGACTGGAGTGTGCTACGGATTGCATACAGAGGTACAACTGGAGTGAGGGAAGGTTCTGTCCTTGAGTAACAGAGGTACAACAAACAGCGACTGCAGCACTCTCTGCAGATCCAGGTGCAGCTCGGGGAAGGTTCTGTCCTTGAGTAACCGGAGACGATGGTCAGAGCCTGAGAGTAGTGTAGTGAAGGAAAAGAGGGAATTAGGGTAACAATCACATACAGAGGTACAACAAACAGCGACTGCAGCACTCTCTGCAGATCCAGGTGCAGCTCGGGGAAGGTTCTGTCCTTGAGTAACCGGAGACGATGGTCAGAGCCTGAGAGTAGTGTAGTGAAGGAAAAGAGGGAATTAGGGTAACAATCACATACAGAGGTACAACAAACAGCGACTGCAGCACTCTCTGCAGATCCAGGTGCAGCTCGGGGAAGGTTCTGTCCTTGAGTAACCGGAGACGATGGTCAGAGCCTGAGAGTAGTGTAGTGAAGGAAAAGAGGGAATTAGGGTAACAATCACATACAGAGGTACAACAAACAGCGACTGCAGCACTCTCTGCAGATCCAGGTGCAGCTCGGGGAAGGTTCTGTCCTTGAGTAACCGGAGACGATGGTCAGAGCCTGAGAGTAGTGTAGTGAAGGAAAAGAGGGAATTAGGGTAACAATCACATACAGAGGTACAACAAACAGCGACTGCAGCACTCTCTGCAGATCCAGGTGCAGCTCGGGGAAGGTTCTGTCCTTGAGTAACCGGAGACGATGGTCAGAGCCTGAGAGTAGTGTAGTGAAGGAAAAGAGGGAATTAGGGTAACAATCACATACAGAGGTACAACAAACAGCGACTGCAGCACTCTCTGCAGATCCAGGTGCAGCTCGGGGAAGGTTCTGTCCTTGAGTAACCGGAGACGATGGTCAGAGCCTGAGAGTAGTGTAGTGAAGGAAAAGAGGGAATTAGGGTAACAATCACATACAGAGGTACAACAAACAGCGACTGCAGCACTCTCTGCAGATCCAGGTGCAGCTCGGGGAAGGTTCTGTCCTTGAGTAACCGGAGACGATGGTCAGAGCCTGAGAGTAGTGTAGTGAAGGAAAAGAGGGAATTAGGGTAACAATCACATACAGAGGTACAACAAACAGCGACTGCAGCACTCTCTGCAGATCCAGGTGCAGCTCGGGGAAGGTTCTGTCCTTGAGTAACCGGAGACGATGGTCAGAGCCTGAGAGTAGTGTAGTGAAGGAAAAGAGGGAATTAGGGTAACAATCACATACAGAGGTACAACAAACAGCGACTGCAGCACTCTCTGCAGATCCAGGTGCAGCTCGGGGAAGGTTCTGTCCTTGAGTAACCGGAGACGATGGTCAGAGCCTGAGAGTAGTGTAGTGAAGGAAAAGAGGGAATTAGGGTAACAATCACATACAGAGGTACAACAAACAGCGACTGCAGCACTCTCTGCAGATCCAGGTGCAGCTCGGGGAAGGTTCTGTCCTTGAGTAACCGGAGACGATGGTCAGAGCCTGAGAGTAGTGTAGTGAAGGAAAAGAGGGAATTAGGGTAACAATCACATACAGAGGTACAACAAACAGCGACTGCAGCACTCTCTGCAGATCCAGGTGCAGCTCGGGGAAGGTTCTGTCCTTGAGTAACCGGAGACGATGGTCAGAGCCTGAGAGTAGTGTAGTGAAGGAAAAGAGGGAATTAGGGTAACAATCACATACAGAGGTACAACAAACAGCGACTGCAGCACTCTCTGCAGATCCAGGTGCAGCTCGGGGAAGGTTCTGTCCTTGAGTAACCGGAGACGATGGTCAGAGCCTGAGAGTAGTGTAGTGAAGGAAAAGAGGGAATTAGGGTAACAATCACATACAGAGGTACAACAAACAGCGACTGCAGCACTCTCTGCAGATCCAGGTGCAGCTCGGGGAAGGTTCTGTCCTTGAGTAACCGGAGACGATGGTCAGAGCCTGAGAGTAGTGTAGTGAAGGAAAAGAGGGAATTAGGGTAACAATCACATACAGAGGTACAACAAACAGCGACTGCAGCACTCTCTGCAGATCCAGGTGCAGCTCGGGGAAGGTTCTGTCCTTGAGTAACCGGAGACGATGGTCAGAGCCTGAGAGTAGTGTAGTGAAGGAAAAGAGGGAATTAGGGTAACAATCACATACAGAGGTACAACAAACAGCGACTGCAGCACTCTCTGCAGATCCAGGTGCAGCTCGGGGAAGGTTCTGTCCTTGAGTAACCGGAGACGATGGTCAGAGCCTGAGAGTAGTGTAGTGAAGGAAAAGAGGGAATTAGGGTAACAATCACATACAGAGGTACAACAAACAGCGACTGCAGCACTCTCTGCAGATCCAGGTGCAGCTCGGGGAAGGTTCTGTCCTTGAGTAACCGGAGACGATGGTCAGAGCCTGAGAGTAGTGTAGTGAAGGAAAAGAGGGAATTAGGGTAACAATCACATACAGAGGTACAACAAACAGCGACTGCAGCACTCTCTGCAGATCCAGGTGCAGCTCGGGGAAGGTTCTGTCCTTGAGTAACCGGAGACGATGGTCAGAGCCTGAGAGTAGTGTAGTGAAGGAAAAGAGGGAATTAGGGTAACAATCACATACAGAGGTACAACAAACAGCGACTGCAGCACTCTCTGCAGATCCAGGTGCAGCTCGGGGAAGGTTCTGTCCTTGAGTAACCGGAGACGATGGTCAGAGCCTGAGAGTAGTGTAGTGAAGGAAAAGAGGGAATTAGGGTAACAATCACATACAGAGGTACAACAAACAGCGACTGCAGCACTCTCTGCAGATCCAGGTGCAGCTCGGGGAAGGTTCTGTCCTTGAGTAACCGGAGACGATGGTCAGAGCCTGAGAGTAGTGTAGTGAAGGAAAAGAGGGAATTAGGGTAACAATCACATACAGAGGTACAACAAACAGCGACTGCAGCACTCTCTGCAGATCCAGGTGCAGCTCGGGGAAGGTTCTGTCCTTGAGTAACCGGAGACGATGGTCAGAGCCTGAGAGTAGTGTAGTGAAGGAAAAGAGGGAATTAGGGTAACAATCACATACAGAGGTACAACAAACAGCGACTGCAGCACTCTCTGCAGATCCAGGTGCAGCTCGGGGAAGGTTCTGTCCTTGAGTAACCGGAGACGATGGTCAGAGCCTGAGAGTAGTGTAGTGAAGGAAAAGAGGGAATTAGGGTAACAATCACATACAGAGGTACAACAAACAGCGACTGCAGCACTCTCTGCAGATCCAGGTGCAGCTCGGGGAAGGTTCTGTCCTTGAGTAACCGGAGACGATGGTCAGAGCCTGAGAGTAGTGTAGTGAAGGAAAAGAGGGAATTAGGGTAACAATCACATACAGAGGTACAACAAACAGCGACTGCAGCACTCTCTGCAGATCCAGGTGCAGCTCGGGGAAGGTTCTGTCCTTGAGTAACCGGAGACGATGGTCAGAGCCTGAGAGTAGTGTAGTGAAGGAAAAGAGGGAATTAGGGTAACAATCACATACAGAGGTACAACAAACAGCGACTGCAGCACTCTCTGCAGATCCAGGTGCAGCTCGGGGAAGGTTCTGTCCTTGAGTAACCGGAGACGATGGTCAGAGCCTGAGAGTAGTGTAGTGAAGGAAAAGAGGGAATTAGGGTAACAATCACATACAGAGGTACAACAAACAGCGACTGCAGCACTCTCTGCAGATCCAGGTGCAGCTCGGGGAAGGTTCTGTCCTTGAGTAACCGGAGACGATGGTCAGAGCCTGAGAGTAGTGTAGTGAAGGAAAAGAGGGAATTAGGGTAACAATCACATACAGAGGTACAACAAACAGCGACTGCAGCACTCTCTGCAGATCCAGGTGCAGCTCGGGGAAGGTTCTGTCCTTGAGTAACCGGAGACGATGGTCAGAGCCTGAGAGTAGTGTAGTGAAGGAAAAGAGGGAATTAGGGTAACAATCACATACAGAGGTACAACAAACAGCGACTGCAGCACTCTCTGCAGATCCAGGTGCAGCTCGGGGAAGGTTCTGTCCTTGAGTAACCGGAGACGATGGTCAGAGCCTGAGAGTAGTGTAGTGAAGGAAAAGAGGGAATTAGGGTAACAATCACATACAGAGGTACAACAAACAGCGACTGCAGCACTCTCTGCAGATCCAGGTGCAGCTCGGGGAAGGTTCTGTCCTTGAGTAACCGGAGACGATGGTCAGAGCCTGAGAGTAGTGTAGTGAAGGAAAAGAGGGAATTAGGGTAACAATCACATACAGAGGTACAACAAACAGCGACTGCAGCACTCTCTGCAGATCCAGGTGCAGCTCGGGGAAGGTTCTGTCCTTGAGTAACCGGAGACGATGGTCAGAGCCTGAGAGTAGTGTAGTGAAGGAAAAGAGGGAATTAGGGTAACAATCACATACAGAGGTACAACAAACAGCGACTGCAGCACTCTCTGCAGATCCAGGTGCAGCTCGGGGAAGGTTCTGTCCTTGAGTAACCGGAGACGATGGTCAGAGCCTGAGAGTAGTGTAGTGAAGGAAAAGAGGGAATTAGGGTAACAATCACATACAGAGGTACAACAAACAGCGACTGCAGCACTCTCTGCAGATCCAGGTGCAGCTCGGGGAAGGTTCTGTCCTTGAGTAACCGGAGACGATGGTCAGAGCCTGAGAGTAGTGTAGTGAAGGAAAAGAGGGAATTAGGGTAACAATCACATACAGAGGTACAACAAACAGCGACTGCAGCACTCTCTGCAGATCCAGGTGCAGCTCGGGGAAGGTTCTGTCCTTGAGTAACCGGAGACGATGGTCAGAGCCTGAGAGTAGTGTAGTGAAGGAAAAGAGGGAATTAGGGTAACAATCACATACAGAGGTACAACAAACAGCGACTGCAGCACTCTCTGCAGATCCAGGTGCAGCTCGGGGAAGGTTCTGTCCTTGAGTAACCGGAGACGATGGTCAGAGCCTGAGAGTAGTGTAGTGAAGGAAAAGAGGGAATTA